AGTCAGCAGCCCCGCGACAGACCCTGCGGATGACATATTATCGTGCTGCTGCTGCTGCTGCTGCTGCTGCTGCTGTTGCTGCTGCTGCTGCTGCTGCTGCTGCTACCTACCTCTTTCAGAGGCAAAGACAGACAGAGAGGCTCTCGGGAGTTCCAAGTGGCCAAGCAAGTCCTACGCATTGAATTGAATTGAATTGCATAAAGTTGAATTGAACTAAAATTAAATTAAATTAAATTAAATTAAATTAAATTAAATTAAATCAAATTAAATTAAATTAAATTAAATTAAATTAAATTAAATTAAGTTTAATTATCTAATTTAATGCAATTAATTGAATTGAATTAAAAAAGAAAGAGAAAAGCGCACCTGCAGAAGGCGGTTCATTTGCTGCTGGTTTTTGAACAAGTCGGAGCTCTTGTAGTAGAGCTCTCTTTGGGTGGCTTTTTTTTTCTGTTTTTGTTCAAACGAAGTCAAATGAAGTTAAATGAAGTTAAATGAAGTTAAATTAAGTAATTTAATTTAATTTAATTTATTTAATTTAATTTAATTTAATTTAAAAAAGAAAGCAACTCCAGCGAATCGCACCTTCACGGCCAGCGCGTGGAGGTGGTGGAGCAGCGCAGCAGCTGCAAGTCGGAATAATCTTCTTGAAGTGGAAAAAAGAAACAAAAAGAATTACTTCTTGCAGTTCTTTCGAAACGCGCCATTGTCAGTCCCGGAAGTTTCTTCTTTTTGCTTCCTTTGTCGCAGTTTTCTTTTTCTGAGCAAATGAACTCCAGAATGTCGAGCGCGCATTGTTCAAGAGCTGCAGATACACCTGAAACGCGGCGAAAGCTGACTCAGGAAAGTGACGGAAACTCGCAATTAATTCACTTCTTTCGCCTTCTCCGTCCATTGTGGTCGAAAGAATACTCAAAAGAATACTCAAATATGTCAATCTGGGAAAAGAAAAACAAAAAAATATATAATGAAGTCACTTGTTGCAGCCAGCAGCAGTTGCTGCGGAAAGCTCAGCGTACACCCCAAATACTCGCTCGCCACAAATGCGAATTCTCCTTTTTCCTTTCATTTATTTGTCTCAGTTTAATTAAATTGATTTAATTTAATTAAATTGATTTAATTTAATTAAATTGTTTTAATTTAGCTTCCACAGCTCCTCCTGAGCTGCTGCGGCTATCCCTGAAATATCTGCATGCGCTTTCCAGTTTCTGCTGCCGCTTTCTGCGTTTTTGCTGCACTCAAGCTCGACTTGAAGGAAAATGCATTCCAATTCTTCAAGAAGAAATGCAATTTAACTTCTCATCAAATTAGTTTTCAAATTTGAACTAAAATGCTTTTCTGCGATTGCAGAAGCTGGCCAAAAGCCACACGAAAAAAACGGGCGAACAAAGGGGTTTATCTTTTGCAAATCAAATGCTAATTAAATGATTTTCTTTTCAAACAGAAGTTCCTTTGCTTCTTCTCCGCGGCCTCCACTTGCGGCTTCTCTTCTTTGTTGAGTCCCTCTGCTGTTATCCCTTGGGTCTCCTGCTGCTGCTGCTGCTGCTGCTGCTGCTGCAGTTGCTGCTGCGCAGCGCAGCTGGCGAAGTTTGCTGCAGCAGGTCAAGCAGCAGAAGGCGCAGCGCAGCGCTGCGAAGAGCAGCAAGGAGGTCAATAAAAACGCTGCGTTGTTTTTATTTCTTTTTCATTTTAGTTTTATTTCAAATCCAGAAAAGATCGGAAAAGAAAGCAGCAGCAGCAGCAGCAGCGCGTCCCGGGAGTCGGAGCAGCAGCAGCAGCAGCAGCAGCAGCACGGAGAAACGGGAGAAAGGCGGGTCGAATCCGGGCGAAGGCGAGCAGCAGCAGCAAAGCTCGCGCTCTGCTGCTGCTGCTGCTGCTGCTGCAGCAGCAGCAGCAGCGCTGCTGCTGCTGCTACTTGTTGGACTTTCTGGAGTTTTTGTTTTTTTCTTTTTCTGCACTTTTGCTGCGGCTCTTCTGCACCCGCCGCAGCAGCTCGGCCCTGGAGAGAGGCCTGGAGTCGACTTCTTCTTCTTCTGAAGTGTCTGTACTGTTGGACCTGTTGAGAGCCGAAGGCGGCTTTATTTGCGGGCTGGCCTTGCTGCTGCTGCTGCTGCTGCTGCTGCTGCTGCTGCTGCTGCTGCTGCTGCTGCTGCTGGTGCTGGTGGT